ATATATATATATATATACATATATTTTTATTTTATTTATGTACAGTGATATTTGTCTACCTTTGAGCCTTTGAGCTTTTACAAATCATACGTATTAAAAAATTATAGTTGTGTAATGAAATAAGTCTTCGTAAAATTGTTGGACAGTGATATTGAAACGAATATCATGTGTACTGCTTTATAATGCGCGCGAAGAACGTGTGATTATATTGTATACAATATAATAGTATAATTGAAAACACGTTTTTGCAACGCAGCCAATATGCTCGAACAATTACGAACTGGAATTGAGAATTAAAAATACTTTTCTATTGGAGTCTTTGATGCTCTATGCGTTTCCGGTGAACCGCTCTTAGTTGTAATTTATAATTTTTGTACAGCTATCAGTCATTAAATAGAACAGCTATTTGATAAAAGTTTTAACCCTTTCCAGCTTTTTATAATTCTACTCAAGTATAATAACTACTTGCACACAATTTTCTGCGCAACTGGTTGCCTAACAAATGGCACACTTTGCTTTACATATAAATCACTTATTTAGAAAGCGATATGAGTGTAAAGTTTTGCCAAATTCTTTACAATTATCACTTTAAAAATAAGAAAAATATATATATATTTTTTTTTTATATGTACATCTTTTGGTATTTATCTACATCACGAATGTAGGAACATGAAAAGAAACGGTTCTGAAGGAACTGTCAAATGATACCGGAAAAGGTCAAATATATTTACGCAAGTTTATTTACACAAAATAGGATGTGCTATCTGTCATCTGGCAACACTACTGTATACATTATACAAGAATGCTATTAAGTGGACCCTTAACGAGAAATATATTCGTATAAAAAAAAATCTTTCGCAAGAAATCCACTCGTGTATCAATAAATAATCAGAATAATAAATATCTGATCGAGTATGCAGCCAGTCGGTGATTAGTCTTACGATATTAATTAAATTGTGATGTGAGTGTGAATACGATGGCGACGCATGATCGACAAACGCGTAGTCGCATTTGCAAGGAAATATTAACCCTTTCAATGTTCCATATATTTTTGCAAGATGTTTTTTTTTCTAGTCATTATAATAATTCCTTTTATTAACCAGTAATTTGCAATGTTAAGATATAAAATTTAAAAATAAATTTAACAATATAAGTCTAATTTAAAAATATATCATAAAAAATTTTATATAAAAATAAAATATTCACTAAGAAAAAAAAAATTCTTTGAGAAGATGTCTGACTTTAATTGAAATTACTGAAATAATAAAAAAAACGTCTAGGTAGTGAAAGGGTTAAAGGAGGGAGGAAAATTACCGAATTTTTTATATGTATACTGATTTTAAAAAATGTCATGGTCACACGAACACGTCGCCATTCGCAAAACACTGGATCTATTCAAATGCGCTAGCTTTCTCTCTCGAAACATGACTCGAATCAAAAATAGAGGAAAAAGGATAAAGAACGATATATACGATGCGTCCCTTCCATCTCGAGAGTCAGTCTTAAAGATGCATTGAGCAGAAGACGACAGGACTGCTGGATGAAGGATGCACCGACGTCGATCGTCTTTTCTGCTTTCGTCGCGAAATCCGCATTTACGAGAAGCAGCTCTTCTCTTTTGTACCCTTTGGTTGCTTGCCTGCGATGACGAATAATGTCGGTCATCCGTGTCTGTGACGGTCAGATGATGCGACTTAATTTCGCAATGGAAGTCAGTCTCAAAAGTAGTTTAATTTCGCCGTCGATAACTAGTTGTCTCGAGTAATATACATGCTTTCTATATCAATCTTAAGTTATTTAGATCGATATTCTTGTTTTTCTTTATTTTATATATGTTTTTCAATTTTATATTTTTATTTGAATTTCTTCTTGTTTTAAGCTGCTTAAGGTATTTATGTTTTAATTTTGGCTCACATTAGCGCATATGACGTATTCATAAAAAGATACGTGTTATCAGTAAGATCTTATTGTTTAAATAATTTACATTCTACCATTTTTTTGCGGGTACTTAAGCTTCATCGTTGAGTTTTTTCATTCATTTGAGACCGAATTTCGTTATATTTCAGGACGCTCTACTCAAATAGGAATTCTACCCGCAATAGGAATTCTCTAAGAAGAGAGAAAATGTTCATTGAATTATCGTAATTAATTAGATTAACATATTTTCTCCATTGTTCAAAAAATCCAAGGAAATATCTGGTTAATTAATTAAAATGCCACATCAGAGAGAGTTTATTCTCTCTCGATTCAAAGAATCTTTTAGTACGACCTTGTGATTACATTCGACAAAGGCGAATACCTTGAAATTCATTCATGTATTAACTTTCTTGCTTCATTCCGGAATGATCACCGTCTTTATGGATTCTGACCTTGACCTCTTATACAGTCATTTATCTTTAATCGAATGTACCTTTAGGCACCTGACTAGTTTCCAATTTCTTCATGAAATCGTCTACTTGCGTCAGAGCATTGACACATTATCGGTGTTTTTCTTCTCTAGCAGCATGGACGTTCTTTCTTCCATTTGAATATTCCCGGCGCTACCATTTCTGCCAGGTTCACAGGATATCTTCAACATACTCGGTTGAAGATTAACGTACTTGTGAGGCTCTTTGTTTTTTACGTCAGAATCTCCGTGAAGCCACGTTTGCTTCATGACAGAGGCTCTTGTGGAATCCAGTAAAGGACTAGAACTGTCCTGCTCGCAAGATTGACTAATCAGGGAATCCAAAGTTTGATCGTCGTCCTGCCCATTCAAGTCAAGCAGAAGCGGAGTTGGTGAATTTGGAATCTTTAGTCCCTGTGTTTGCGAAGATTGACGTTGCCACAAAAGGGAAAATTTCCGATTATTCTCTGATAGTTGTATGTCGAGTTGCGCAGTGTGCTCTAATTGCACGCTCGACAGGGGCACGTCCAGACAGGGTGCAATGATACGAGGATTCAACGCCAGGAAATCAACGATCTCCGGTGCCGATGGCCTTTTCGAGTGATCTATATTCCAGCAGGAATACATTAAATTTTCGCTGCAAACAGAATTGTCAAATATAAATCAGATGATAAATGAGGTACGATTAGTATCATCAGGATGACTACTTACAGCTGTAGTTTTATTTTTTTCGGCGCAGTGAGGCAATTGCCAGCCTTTACATGCGTGAGTACCTCATTATTACTCATCCCTTGGAAAGGAAAGCTACCGAATGTAACAATCTCGTAGAGCAGTACTCCGTAAGACCAGACGTCAGACGCTGGCGTAAAAATACCCAGTGCTAGCGATTCTGGCGACATCCATCTTACTGGTAACATACCTGAACGAAACAAATTTTACCCGTAAAATCATAATGCTGTGAAGACAAAAATATCATTAATTGTATCTTCTCTCACCTTTTCGATTGAATTTATAATAGTCGTTTTCGTACATTGGTCTTGTCATACCAAAGTCACCAAGTTTTACTACCCGTTGGGCGTTTACTAGACAATTGCGCGAGGCAACATCCCTAACGAAAAAGAAGAATATATAAGAAAATAAAATTGTGTCATCGCTAGTCATAGATTAAACACAGCAATTAAAATTGTTTGACTCACCTGTGAACGTATTTTAATTGCGCTAAATAACTGAGTGCTCTGGCGACATCTAATGCCATGGCGGTCAATTTTTTATTCGATATCTCGTCGGAATCCTCGTAGCTTCGATCGTTGACCAAATGTCTTCTGGCCAATAGATAGGTTTTTAAGTCACCGTAAAGCATAAATTCCATCACAGTCAACACAGGTTCAGACTTGATGCATACACCCAATAATTTAATGATATTCGAATGCTCGAATTTTTTCATGACCTCGACTTCACTAAGGAAATCTAGTTTTTCATCAGTTGAACTACCGACTTTTAAAGTTTTCACGGCTACAGCGAGCCAGCCCTTCTCAGAAAAGAAAGCTTCACCACCGTAAACGGTACCGAAGGCTCCCTCTCCGATTTTTCGATTGATCACTACTCTATCTCGCGGAATTTCCCATACATCCAAACTAGAAGTATCTATCTGTGATAGGATACCCAGAGACTTCATGTATTTTTCATGAATCTGCATTTTTTTGTCATAGCTAAACAAGTAACAAAAAAGAAGGTATTGTTAAATACAATTTTTAGGAATAATGCCTTGATAAAATTTGCTTTCTACATATATTATATCGTATAATACATATATTACGATATAATAAATGTAGAAGCAATAGCTTCTACATTTATTATAAAGTAACAAGATTATAATAAAATAATAAGATTATAATAAACGTACTTTCGTTTAATGATGATGAAGCTGACGATCAAAACTGCTCCAAGAAGGCCAAAACCAATGATATTAGCGATCACAATCGCTACTTCGCAAGAAACATCTAACAGTTCCGCCAATCCTCCTAGAACACATCTTGATGGAGGCTCGGAACCATCATCAGGCATTGTCTCCGATAACCAAACAAAAGCTGAAATATTCAATTCCAAAGTGCCGCCCGTTACTTCGTGCTTGGCTTCGGAGATATTTGGATAAAAGTTACCAACAATGTTCGTTTCATTATCGACAAACTGAACAATATTGATAACAGAGTATCTCGATGGTCCGCCTAGAAATTTTATTCTTCCGGATACCTGAAAAATACAAACACAATTATTGCAACCTATTGTTTGTGTAGGTATATCGCGATTGCAAGATATCTCAAAAGAATTTTTCATTATATTGAGTCTTCTTATCTTTTAGTGAAAGTAGGAAAATTATTGATTATAATAGGCTACTCTACATATTTTCTTTATAATGTTATATGTGTATAATAGATTAATAAATTACATCTGAATTTTTAATTCCGGTGACAAATTGGAAATCGGAATCGGAATAAGGACTTGATCTTAACCCGGGAATTTATGGATATTTTGCTGATAATAGCACGAAATATAGCCAAAACATCCGGAAGTGTGTTTTTTTTTAATTTAAATATAACTGTATAGAAACTTTGCACAAAAATTGAAGTGCCGTATTGTTACCAGCCTTTTGAATATTAATTATATAATCGATAAATATTTGTTCCACTAACCCCATAAAAATCGGTTTCGCCGATAATATGCGTTAGGCGATTGACCGTATGGTCGCTGTGAAGATCGAAGACATAACTATGGTTCTCACGGAGAAGTCGATCCATAGCATAAGCGTAGGTCCACATGGCGTCGTAGGCGTAACCGGCGTAGTTAGAGGGTTGCTGATTCGACGTTCGGCAGATGTTCTCGTAACGTTCACGCCACTCACGCACAGTGATTCCCTCCTGCATTATATCGTCATCTCGAGCGAAGTATGCGTGCGACAGACCGAGATGTCCGTTTATGGCCTTCATCATTTCATTCGTGGTGCAAGGCACTTGTTCGCCTTCCTCATTGTAATAATCGGTATCGTACCATTGTGTTCGAAGCCAAAGCGGAAGAAACCAGACGTAGCCCTTTAAAACAGGAATCAATTTAAAAAATTATGAATTTGTCTTTAATTTTATGCTCTTATACGATTTATTCGAAAAAAAATGGGCGAAATATAATATTTATAATTATTACCTGGACAGCTGTCATCTCTAGTTTATATGCTTCGCACATGACTTGACGAGCTACTTCACCGTATACGTCTGCAATAATAATTCTTGCTCGTTTTTCTTTCAAACTTTGCAAATACTGAAAATTAATATTGTAAAATTATTTATTGTTTCGATATTTATGAGTTTTTGCATAAATATTATAAAAAAATATTTAAGTCTCAAGTTCTGGTCGCTTAAACATTAAATAATTTATATGCATTTGCATTAATAATTTTTAATAGTAATTCTATTGCTTCCATTATCATTGTTGATAATGGAAAAACAAATATTTAATTTCCCATAAATCAAGATTAAACCTACTTTTGTCATGACGTCAGCTTCTCGCTCTCTCGGAAACTTGACGTTCGCCACAAAATCGATGCTGTTGTCTCTGAGCATATCCTGCATGTATGATATGTACTCGGTATATTTCTGTCCATCTTCTGTCAATGAAGCAACTCGATGCCAACCTAGTCTCTGCAAGAGTTGCACGTAGACATGTTTATACTGTTTGTTCTCACCAATGGTCCTGAAGAAATACGGATATTTGGTGCGATCGTCGAAACTAGATCCTTCTGCGCTGTAACTGATTATCACTGTTCTATAGTGTTTCGACACACCGACCAACGGCTCCACAGTTTCCGAACAAGCAGGCCCTAATACGCCAACCAGCTTTTGGTAATAATTATGTATGATATAATCGATGAAGGATTTCATCACCATATCGGACTTGCATTGACCATCACTGGCTAATAGAGTCAAGTTGTAATCTCTCAGCAGGGTATTGTTAACGTTGATGACTTCCTTCGCCATTTTAGCGGCGATCACGATCGATTTGGCCATGTAGGAATTGCCGCTCATGGGAAATATACCACCTACATAAAGGGTATTTTTGTCGTCGTTGCTGGGCTTCCATTCTGTTAGGACATATTTCAGATTATCATTTAACCAATCGCAGGCAATTTGTTCATCCGAGACGTTCATTGGTGCTTGTAAACGACGTGTGATCAAAATTTCATACATCTCTCGAGTAAACTTAGCGCGATTTATCGCCTGAAAAGCGATCTTCGCTATCGCTTCTAATCTACTCCACACTAATTTTGTTAGTCTGTTGGACTCATACATGCAGCCGATCGAATCGTTTTTCATTCCGCAACGTGGAAAGTCGATCGTTGTAAATTCCCTTTCGTTCGGGATCACGCTGCTGGGCGTATAGTGCAGAATCACCAGTGATCTAAAAAGAAAACTTTGTTATAAAATTTTACATTTTTTTTTTTTTGTGTAGTACTTATTAGAGATCTTATATGAGAGCCAAATTACTCGCGGCCAGACTGATATAGAGTCTTAGTATTTACGGTATCGATTGACAATAAAAAAAAAAATTAGGTACTTTTCAGATCAATACCTGTTCTCGATGGAAGCCGATGAGTTCTGCGCGAGCACGTGTTCGTATTCCTTGGTTAAATATTTGATTAGATGTTTGAGATTCGGTCCTACCCACGCCACCTTAACATAGAGCTTCATCTGATCGATATGTTCTTTTATGAAACGAGTTACATCAGAGTATTCTGCTAGCAGCAGCGCGCAGTTCGGCGACCTTTGCTGGCCTTGGCCGTGACATTGTACCGGGATGTACATCCCATGTTGGCAAAAAGCTTCATGGCAGTAATATTCCCCCGTTTGTGTATTTATCATAAATTTCTTAACGATAGGTAGGTATGTCTCGTCGACAGCGAACCTGCTAGCAGTCTCTAATTTGGAGAAGATTAGCCAACTATCATCAGGTCTGGCTAATGTCTCCGGAACAAACCAGCCAAAGTGACCCGGTGGCGCTATCGAGCCGCATTCTTTCACGTCGTATTTACTTAGCAGTGGCGACGTGTCCTGCTGTGGCGGAATCCACACTTCCATGTTCACCATTATTTCTGGAAATCTGTAATTGAGACAGGAATGTTAATCGCTCGCTTTAAACGCAGGTACGTCCCTCCGGCGGAGTTTGAAAGTAAGTTTGATGTAAGTTTGTTAGTTACAGTAGTTCAAATTTTTAACCATATTCTCAAAAGATAGGAAGGAAATATTAAATATGTAACAGAATCGTTGATAATTTATATAAATCATTATCACTATTTCTATCAAAAAGGAGACATTAAATTTGAGAGCTTGATATTTTTTCATTTTCTTGTGATTGCCAAATATTAATTGACTATATTTCATTTTGTAACTGTTGTATTTAAATCGTCAGAAAAATGTTATTACTCAAGGTCGATACATCTCAAAATATCTTAAATTGAAATATTAGTACACAGCTAAAAAAATGTAATACTACAATACATCTGGAGTTTACAACGCAATATCTTATGCTTCAAGAAGAATACAGTTTGTTTGAAATTTGCATGAAAATAAATACTTTTAAATGATTGAGAAGCGATACAGAGAAATTTGATTACTGTCGATAAATACAATTTGAATATTTGCTGGAGAAAGCATTGCTGTAAAAATGGAATATAATCGGTCAGCAAAAAAGAAGATTGCGACAGTAAGTATTCTCAATTACGTGAAAAAGACGGTTTTGAATTATTTAAAAATTTAGCTATACTAGAAAAATTTCTAATTGAAAATGAACGAACTAGAAGTTGCTAATCTTACTGTCTAAATTATTTGGAGTGGATTCTTACTCTAAAGAATGAAAGTGGAACCAATCTTGAAAAAAAATTTTCAAATCTGTGTCTGGTTAAACTTTTAGATATTTTAGCAAAATAGTTTTTTTCATATAATTCGTTCAAACGAATTATTTTAGTTAGTGACATAATATAATATATAATATGACATATAATTGCACGCGCGCGTATGTGTGTGTTTATATCGAAATTGTGTATTCTATTTGTTTTATGTAAATATAAATAACAAAGTATATCTATTTAAAAACTTATTGAAAAACAAATGTTTAAAATTTGACAAACTTTACATTTCACAAATTGAGAAAGAAAGGCTGTGAGATATTTATAGAGTAAGAAGACAAGTAACGAACTTTCGAGAATGCGTAATTAATTACATTTAATTTGTCGATAATAAACGATCCTTATTTTTGCACTAATAACCGTGCGTATAATGGCTCTCATTAGCCATTTATTTGTTTTTATATTTTGATAGTCAAAGAGTCGTGCAGCTTCAACTTTATTATTACACGATGTCTATTTGTCTTACATTTTGAACTCGGTATATGTTGGCTTTTCAGATAGTCTCTCAAAGACTTCAGACGCATTGAAGTTGTCATCCTTCTCGACAATGGTTACTCCAGTATACCCCAATACTTCGGTCAGAAAAATCTTCATGACTTCTGACGCTAATCTCTGTGTCACTCTCCTCGACACTTCGAACGGAATATTTAAAAAATGACCTTCATATTGGATTACTCTCTTTGGATTGACTTCTGTGAAAAATATATTTCGAATTAAAATCTTTTGATTAAGATAATCACGAAGAATCAATAATAATAATAAAAAAAATAGAATTTTGCACAACCCGATTGGGTGCAATAAAATTGCGAGATTATGTATGACGATTGAGAAACGTCTGAGATGAAGATTGTTGTGCATGTAGAAACGGGTATTCGTAGAAATGCGTATGTAAAAACACAAGGTCACTTTATCGTTTATACCATACAATGTAAACATCTGAGAAAAACATGTAGCCAGGGCAAGAACGTTTCCGGCCGTTGCCAATCCGCGAGATGACTATGTTTAAGAGTTCGATAATAAGCGAGTAAACTATGCGGCATTAACGCATACGGAATACATTCAGCTCGTAATTATATGCTGCGAGGTTTGATATAGCTAATTACTCATCGACTGAATGATCATGCATGGATGAATCGTGAGAGCGATTCAATTAATGTTTAAGCCGCGCCTAACTCGGCCTGTCGCGGCAATTAGCGGGTTATTCCACGTGGCGCCGATTCTTCGATGGCATGGTAATAATATCGCATCTTCGAAACTGACAAATGCGCCGTAATTGAGCCGCAACGATCGGGCTGACGATAATGACCGGCGATTTACCTTCCAGCATTGTCAGACAACGATTCGAGTCCGCGATCTTCAGCACGGCCACGAGGGCCAGCAAGCCCACTAAGAATCCGGGTCTCAGCATCGTGACCTTCTCATCCTGTAACAAACATCAGAGTGTTCCATTGAGATTGCTCGTTAAAAACGAATTAATTTAGTCACGGTTGATCGGTTCGTGAAATAGTAAACCGATTTATTTAGAGGTAATAGCATTGTACGAAGTTGAAAATACTAAGCGGATTGAAAAGAATTAATGGTAAGCAATGGTGTAACAATTAAAACTCTAACTCAATCTGTTTCTCTTAAATACTATATTTTAAGTTCTAGACATAACAGATGCGCGCTACCGAGCTTTTGACATTGTACAAATATGCATATTATACTATATATATTACACTATGCATATTACACTTAACTATTGATACACATAACCGTGAAACGCGCAATCTCAAGCCGCTCACGAAGTAAGCGGAGAGCGCTGCGAGAGAACCAAATGCAAATCGACACATTTGCTTACGACACAAAGTTACGCACGCGATACGATCTAGACTACCAATCCGCATCGCGAAAAAGAGGTAACATTACAGACATGGGAGCAACTCACCTTTCTCACTCTCTCACTTTTTTGTGTAGGTAAACATTACTATTCATAAATTCAGGAACGCTTGAAATTGTCTCGCATCTTTACAAAAACTTAAATATCTCGGTGAAAAAAATTATAGAGGAATTTAAAAAAATGCAATGTAAAAACAAAAAATAGAACTTTAAAGTGGCGTTTGAATTTTGTATCTGCGAAATTTTTTTCCTGAATTATATTGTATAAAATTGAAAATTGATTTTTTGCTATTTGTTGAAGCGCTGTACTTAAATGAAACTTTATCGGATAAAATTTTACAAATATTTTAAGGTAGACTTTCTAAGTCGTAACTTTTTAAAATGAAAAAAAATTGATGTGATTTTTCGCATAGATATTGTATTTTCAAAAATGTTTGAGGGTGGCTAACAAATACAAAATATAAATAATAGAGAGCATACAGCCACAACAATAGATGTTAACGCAAGTCGTATATTTAAAATTCTCATATAAAAAATGTAGACGTTTCGGTCAAGATTTGACCATCATCAGTACAACAAGATGATAAAAAATAAAAAATTACAAAAAATTAATTAAGCAATAATCGCTAGTCCGAAGGTGGTACAATAATATTAAGATGACAATAAAAAAGAAAAATACATAAAATTGAAAGCAATACTCGCAAGTCAGATAGATAGTGAAATAATTTTCCAATCGCTTATGGTATGAGTTCACAGCGTGAGTTGAAGTCCAGAGAATTAAATTTAAAATCTTCTATATCCTTTGTTACGTTTATTTCCTGTTTTCATAAGAAGCGATGAGTGACTTCGTATGAAAATACGGAATTTCCAGATTCACGTATCTTATGACACAAATCCTCGTAAATATGACTCGGAGTAAGTAATAAAACTTAAAAACCGAACACTTGGAAAACTGTTTAAAAAATTATTTCTGACAATTAATTGTATCTATTATTGTGGCTGTATGCTCTCTATTATTTATATATTGTATTTTTTTATTCTTTAAAATTTTTTTGGTAAAAAACTTACTTTTCCTAAAATGTTTTTAACTTTGACAAAAGTTATGGAAGTTTTCAAAGGAAAGTTATGGAAAAAAAATAAAAAGTGGAAAATGTTTATTATAATGTGATTGATTCACACATTCCAAATTTTTATTTTTAAAGCTCTATTTTTTGTCTTTTATATGTTTATTTTTGAAAATTTCTTTTTTTGACCCCGTGTATTTCGCAAACCAGTCATGTGCTTAACTTAAAAATTTTATGCCTATTATTTATGATTATTGTCTCATCATGAATAATCATTGTAATTTGGCACAAAATTTGGTTCAAAAATCGAGGTCTAGAAAACGGGCGATTTTTGCGGTGGCTCTTTGTTTTATTGCCATTATTGCAATAATAAGGATGTAGCAGATATGTAAGAGAAAATTTTTCTTTCATAATGGCTCAACAATCGATGTATGTCAAGTCTAATTTTGTATAAGAGCAGTTTTCATATACACATTCTGCTACATTCTTTATTGGTTTAATTTCTAAAATTTAATTTTTCGAAAAGAGAGGTATATTGAAAAAAACATTCAAATTCTCAAGAAACATTTATTTTTTAATCTTAAGAAGGTTCACTTTTTTTTTACCGACTCATTATTTTCTCACTTTTTCAAGAATAAAACTCACTTTTCTAACTATTTTTGACAATTTTAACTGCCTGCTTAACAATGAATTCGACTATCGATTTAACATCTCCTTTTTTAGATAGAAGTATTTACGCAATTATTATTAATAGCGATATTATTGAAAAATAGATAGATGATTATACTAGTTAAAAATAGATAGATTTATTATACTAGTTCATAAAGTCATGCGCACCTTTGATAAATATTGTAATTAAAAAAACCGAGTCAATTAAAAGTAGCTTAGACACAAAGTAGCAACAGACACAAAATAGCGTCAATTATATATAACTTTGCGAGACCTTTCCAATTGATTATGTATTCCTTCAATAACAACAATTTCTTGCCATTTGAAACGTGTTTGTTCCGTCTACATCAAGAATTCCTGACAAACATTGTTGAAAGGCTAATAAAAATATGCGTAAGCGGATAAATAAAATTTCTCAGATTGTCTCAGGTATCTGATCGCGAAGTGGCGCCGTGTTTTCCTGAATCAACCGACATATATTATAATAAATAATATACATTCGCACTCGACATTACATCTAGAAAGTGCCAGTACACACAATAGCATTCCTCTTAGAAAATAATCATGACGACACACAACTCGGATAGTGAAGCCATTGTACTTTACGAAATGTCCAATGAAAAGAAAAAGAAGGGGATTCCTCTTGTGTGTTATAATATGTATGTTACAATACGATTCCTTAGTACATTCGACTTGAACTCGTGATGGACCGATTTTGCAGTTTAACCTGAGAGATTAAAGC